GGGGGGAGGGGCTTGGCTGCTTCCGCGCCGTTCAGCTCGGCTCCACGCGCCCACGCCTCGCCGCTCGTCTTCGTGCCCCCTAGGCGGGCATGCGCCCCCGAGCCCCGGGCCACCCCGAGCCGGCCGCGCAAGATGGGCGCCCTCGGTCCCAGGCCGCCGGCGCCGCCGCCGCCGCCGCTGCTGCTGCTGCTGCTTGCGCTGGGTAAGCCCGGCCCTCGCCTCAGCCCCCGGCCCCGCTGGGCAGGTGCCTGCCGCCTGGCGCCCGGCCCGGCCCGCCTCCCCAGCATTTCGGAGCCCCTCGCACCCCGCTTCTGGTCACGGGCACCTCCAGCCTCCCTGGGCTCGGCGCCCAGCCGCCCTTTGTGGTTGTCCGCCGAGCCAGTCTTGGGGGCGGCAGGGTGAAGGCCCCCCCAGCTCTAGGCCCCCGGCTGGGGTACAGTGAGGACCCACCGAGGGGCGTCCCCCAGGGACCGCCAGGCCCCGTTTCTCAACCTGCATGCCCAGATCCAGGGGTCGCCGCTCCCAGATGCTGTGACTCCTCTCTGCCTCACTGAGCTTCAGGCCCAGCTTCAGGTGCCCGCCCTGCGTGGGCAGTGCCCGCCAGTCTTCGTAATTGCCCGGAATTGGCTGGAGGCCCAGGGGCCAGTCCTGTTAATGATCTTGGAAGTAAGTCTCCCTTAGTTGCCTCCTGCCCGCATAGACGTCATCATCTGCGGCTGGGCGCAGTTCCCCCTCTCATCCCGTCTGCACCTCAGCCAGGTCTTCCTCTGCCCCACTTTTCCTCTCCGACGGCACTGGGCTCTGTAGCCTCCCACCAGTTATCGCACCCGCTTAGTCCCAGCTTCCTTGCCTCAGGAGAAAGCAGGCTGCGTGGAGACCGATGCTGGGGTCTCTGAGCACCCGGTGTCTGTTGCGGTGGATGTTCACGGGCTGTTCCGGGCCACCCCGCATGGAGGCACGAGGGCAGTGACAGTGGCATTGTTTTTGGCCTGAACTGGAGGGTTCCCTGCAGGAGGTGGTCTGGGAGGAGGAGTGTGGCATTGGGACAGTGACTGAAGCCCTTGACATAAGAAAACACAGAGTGGGAGGTGGCCTGTCTGCAAGGACCCGGAGCTGCCATAGTCGAGGCACAGGCTGATGTAGTCCCAGCCGCCTGTTTCTAGCCCAGAGCTCCACCAGTGCCAAGCAGAGGCTCCCCTGCTGCCTAGGTCCCTGGGCCCTGGGGGACTAGAGCGAATCATTGGGGCCCTGGCGGGAGGCAGGAAAATGGGCACAGAAAGGAGCCATGGGACCCGGTTGCTTAGCAGCTGGCCGGTTTTTCCCCCGTGGGCAGCATCGAGCAGAGAGGAGCCCAGGGGAGGTGGGGAGGTTTGGTGTACAGAGGTGGAAGAGCCTGTCAAGGTCGGCGCGCCCACTGCCTGAGGGCACTTACATTCATTTGGAATATGAGGAAAATGGAGTAACCTGCCCCAGAGAACACATCCCTAGCCAGACCCCTCTGACTCCAAAGCCAGTCTCTGCTCTCCCTTCCCTTTCTGGGAACCAGAGGAGGGGACCCCGACTAGGGAGAGAGAGCTTCCTGGCTGCTGGCTTCCTAAGGTGGTGGGGCGGACTTTCCCATGGAGATCCCCAAGCATCAGCAGTTGTGGAGCCTGGAAGGTGGGAGGGAGGACCTTCTGAGCAGAGCCTGCCTGGAGGCCAAGGAAGAAGGCAGCTCGGCCAGCAGCCCTCACCCTGATTACGAAATGCCCTCTGGCAGGCCCTTCCCAAGTCACAGTCACAGGCTCATGGTCAGAGCGGAAGCTCTCAGCTCTTTTGCAGTGTGGGAACTGGGGCCTGGAAGAAGGGTCTGGTCCAGCTGGGGATGAACATGGGACTAGACCCTGGTCTCCTGACTCCCAGCCTGTGCTCTAACCCTGTGACCATAAGTTCTCCCTGCAACCTACCACAGGAAGAAGGGGCTGAGAGCCCCACTAGGCGGGGAAGTCAAGGGTGCACTTCTGTAGGAGCTGGAAGACAGTTTGACCCCAGATGTGGTGCTTTGCTCCGGGCCCTGCACGGAGGCTGTGGGTCTGCCCCTGGGAGTGACGTTCTGGTGGAAGAGTCATCTGCTTAGCCCTAACCTTAGAGCTCCCCGCCTTCCTTCCTGGCTTTGCCCTTCTGCAGGGGCATGTGGAAGCCCTCCATGGACGGTAGGATCTTGGCCTGGACGTTATACTTCTCGTGCCCTTTCTCATCTGTAAAATCCAGGCGGGGACTCTCCCAGCCCTTACATTTGCGGTTTCTGTGATCTTAGTGGGGCCGTGGAAGATTGGTGGAGCAGAGCAAGAAGCTGAGCCCTCCGCGGCCACCAGGAGTAGCTGCCAGGGTTGCGTAGGGCCTGGGGGTAGAAGTAGGTTGAAAAAGAGTTTTTGCCTCTGAGGAAAGACAGGAGGGGGCAGGTGGGGGTGTAATCCCTCTCCCCTGGAAAGAGAACCATAGGTAAATGAATGCACGCCCCATGCAAATTAAGGCTTTTGTTAGAGAATGGGGGCGCAGATTGTGCATCAGCTGGGCCAGCCAGGAAGATTGGCAGACACTGGTGGGGAAGGGATCTTCTGCCCCCAGAGGCCAGGGCAGAGGCTGGTTCTTGCCCTAAAGAAAGCCTCAGCTGCCTGGGCAAGGAGAAGCAGTGAGCTCATGGCACAGCTGGAGGGGGGAAGGCATTGTGTGGTGAGAACTGACTGGGTCTGTGCCCTGTCCTCGGGCCACTGGCTCCATTGTTTGGAGTCCCCTGGCCCAGGTGACACAGCTGAGCCAACCAGTCCTTCTGAGTAAGAGTGTGCCAGCTCTCCTCAAAGGAGGGGGCCATGTGGGCTCAGAATCGCTTAGCTAGAAGGCTCTTCTGACCAGTCCCCGAACCAGTCTTCCCTACTGCAGACATGAGAGTGGGGAAGGGGGCGGCAATCAGGCAGCTGAAATTGAGGGATGCTTAAATCCAGAAGAAGGTGCACCCCCTTCTGCCCTTAGGCCTGCCAGAAATGGGATGTTTCTGGGGTTTGAGGCAAACCTGGGTCTATACCACCTTGAGACCCAGGTGTTTTATCTCCCAGCGTCCTTTCCCTGTTCTCAGGATGGTCCCAGCTGTGTACCAAGGTTTTCTTTCCTCTCTTGGGCAGCAGTCGGGAATGGTGCTGGTAATGGTGGGAGGCAATGGCCAACCTCTGTCCTTCTCTACAGGATTTGGGTGCTATGCCCGGGAGGTGCTGGTTCCCGAGGGACCCCTGTACCGTGTGGCTGGCATGGCCATCTCCATCTCCTGCAACGTCAGTGGCTATGAGGGCCCTGCCCGGCAGGACTTCGAGTGGTTCCTATACAGGCCCGAGGCCCCAGAGTCTGCGCTGGGCATCGCCAGTACCAGGGATACCCGATTCTCCTACGCTGTCTTTGGTTCCCGCGTGGCAGCTGGCGAGGTGCAGGTGCAGCGTCTGCAGGGTGATGCCGTGGTGCTCAAGATTGCGCGCCTGCAGGCCCAGGATGCCGGCATTTACGAGTGCTACACACCCTCTACTGATAGCCGCTACCTGGGCAGCTACAGCGGCAAGGTGGAGCTGAGAGGTACTGGCTCTGGGGTGGAGGGGACACGAGGTCAGGACCAGGAGGGACCCCTCTAACCACCTTCAGGTTTTGTGACTTGTACAGAGTCACCCAGCAGTCATGAGTTAGTGGCTCATCTGGGACTCTAAGCCAGATCTCTTCATCATCAAGCTACCTCCTGCCAGGTGGCACACCAGTCCTCTTCCACTCCCAAGAGGGTGGTGGAGCCTGACAGGGTGAACCAGCTCCTTTCCTTGAGATTCCAGGATCCATATCGGGAGGGTGTGGGGAGGAGGTAGAGGTAGGGTAGGAGGAATGAGACCATGTGACATTCTTGCTTTCTTAAGTTTCTTTGTCCTCTGAGAAGGAGGACAGAGCCACTTTTCTCAGTATTTCAAACAGGGGTCAGACCCAGAAATAAGGGTGAGTAGGCGATGGGCTGGTTCTATGAAATTCAACAAGTATTTATTGTGCGCCTCTTCTGTGCCCAGCACCACTGGGTTACAGAAAGAATAACATAACATGAAATCTTTGCCCCCCTGGAGCTCACAGTCGATGCAGGGCTGCAGGCTGTACATAGGCAGTAACACAGGCTGCAGGCACGGGCTCCCGGCCCTCTCTCATTCCAGCCTTTCTCCCCAGTTCTGCCAGATATGCTGCAGGTGTCTGCCACACCCCCAGGGCCCCGAGGCCGGCAGGCTGCAATTTCACCCCCTCGCCTGACCGTGCACGAGGGGCAGGAACTGGCACTGGGCTGCTTGGCGAGGACGAGCACGCAGAAGCACACACACCTGGCAGTGTCCTTTGGGAGAGCTGTGCCGGAGGCACCAGTAGGGAGAGCGACTCTGCAGGAAGTGGTGGGACTGCGGCCCGACCTGGCTGTGGAGGCCGGAGCACCCTATGCTGAGCGGCTGGCTGCTGGAGAGCTGCAGCTGGGCAAGGAGGGTGCCGAGCGGTACCGTATGGTGGTGGGGGGCGCCCAGGCAGATGACGCAGGCACCTACCACTGCACGGCCGCCGAGTGGATTCAGGATCCTGATGGCAGCTGGGTACAGATCGCGGAGAAGAGGGCCATCCTGGCCCACGTGGACGTGCAGACGCTGTGTGAGTGCCACGCATCCCAGGGTGGGAGCTGGGACCCATGGACCTCAGTGGGCCCACTAGGTGGCCGCCGCCTGGCTCCAGGGAGCCCACCTTCCCTCAGGCAAGCCATGATAGTGTCGCTTCCCCCTCCACCCAGGACAGCCTTTCTCCCCTGGGGAGCTGGGCATGGTGATAGGGGGCCATGGTGGAGGGGAGAGTCAGCCCCGGGTGGGGGAGCTGGTCATACCTCATGAGGGAAGGACAGGCCACCCTGCAGTTGCTGCTGTCAAGGCAGGAGCCACAGCTAGGAGTCAGGGGCTCTGCCCCTCCGGCCTCCGTGACGCCCCTCCCCACCCCTGTGTTTCAGCCAGCCAGCTGGCAGTGGCAGTGGGACCTGGAGAACGTCGCATTGGCCCTGGGGAGCCCTTGGAGCTGCTGTGCAATGTGTCAGGGGCACTGCCCCCAGCAGGCCGACATGCTGCGTACTCCGTGGGCTGGGAGATGGCACCTGCGGGGGCACCTGGGCCTGGCCGCCTGGTTGCCCAGCTGGACACAGAGGGTGTGGGCAGCCTAGGCCCTGGCTATGAGGGCCGGCACATTGCCATGGAGAAGGTGGCATCCAGAACCTACCGCCTGCGGCTGGAGGCTGCCAGGCCTGGTGATGCGGGCACCTACCGCTGCCTCGCCAAGGCCTATGTCCGAGGGTCTGGGGCCCGGCTTCGTGAAGCAGCCAGTGCCCGCTCCCGGCCCCTCCCTGTGCACGTGCGGGAGGAAGGTGAGAGGGGTGCATTGCGGTCTTTCTGGGGTGTGGGGCTTGTAGACCCTTTTCCTCCTACTTCTACCCATCAGGTGCCTCCATGCCTCATCCTCACGCGCGTCTTCTTGGATCATGGGAACACCTTGAGATTCCTGGGGGCTGCTTGGACGCGCTCCTAACCCCACGCCCCCGGGCCCTTCACCGGCTTGCCCCTTGTTCTGCAGGTGTGGTGCTGGAGGCCGTGGCGTGGCTGGCCGGAGGCACCGTGTACCGCGGGGAGACCGCCTCGCTGCTCTGCAACATCTCTATGCGCGGTGGCCCCCCGGGCGTGCGGCTGGCCGCCAGCTGGTGGGTGGAGCGGCTGGAGGAGGGGGAGCTGAGCTCTGCCTCTGCCCAGCTGGTGGGTGGCGTGGGCCAGGACGGCGTGGCAGAGCTGGGGGTCCGGCCCGGAGGAGGCCCAGTCAGCGTGGACCTGGTGTCACCCCGAAGCCATCGGCTGAGGCTGCACAGCCTGGGGCCCGAGGATGAAGGCGTGTACCACTGTGCCCCCAGCGCCTGGGTGCAGCATGCGGACTACAGCTGGTACCAGGCAGGGAGTGCCCGCTCGGGGCCAGTCACGGTGTACCCCTACACGCATGGTGAGCGGCTCCCACCCTCCCTCCCTCGCTGCCTTCTCCCAGCCCTGTGTTCCTTCTGCCCTCTGTTGGATTCCCCCGCTGCCATCCCCTTTCTCGTCCACACCACTTCACTTGAAGAGTCTGGAGAATCCAGCGTGCAGCCCCCAGCGCCCGTCTCCCGGGGGTGGAGGGTGACTTGAGTGCTGAGCGGCAGGGAGTGGGCAGGGGCGGGCTGCCTGCGAATGGGGAGGAGGTGGGAGCAGGGGCTGGACACGAGGGTGACACTGGGTAGAGGGCAGGGGCACCCCGGGCTGAACAGAGCCATCCGCTCTCACCCAGCCCTGGACACCCTGTTTGTGCCCCTGCTGGTGGGCGCGGGCACTGCCCTCGTCACTGGTGCCACCGTCCTTGGCACCATCACCTGCTGCTTCATGAAGAGGCTGCGGAAACGGTGATCCCTCCGCAGGTGAGGGAAAAACCTCCATCCTGGTCTTCCTTCCTCAGCCTCTGGCCTGCAAACCTGACATGGGCTACCCGCCAGGTGCCCGAGGAGGGTCCCCTTGTTAGTAGGCTTGGGGCGGGGCGGGGTGGGGGGGTCCCGCTCAGGCCCTCTCCTCGCCCTGTCTCCCGTCCTGCAGGTGTTGACTCTCTGCCAGCCCAGCTCCAAGCCTGCCTCTGGCTGCCTGGCCTCCCTCTCCGTCTGCCCGCCCGCCCTTTAATTTATTTGACCTACCCCAACCCAGAGTGGGGGACACGGCCCCCTGTTCTCTGCTCCTTCCTTCCCAACTCCTCCCTCTGGCCTTCTGTCCTTGAACTCATACCAGCCAGTAGGGAGGCCATTCTCTGTCCTTGAATTCATTTTTCTAAAATGTGAATAAACTTGTTTTATAAAACCCAGGGCTGGCTGCGTCTTCCCTGCCACGAGGAAAGTGTCGCGGCTGACAACCTATTCTGGGTGACCCAGGCCTCCCTTCCCACCACACACACCATCTGGCTTCCGTGGGCCATGCCACCCACCCAGGAGGGGACACTGGGTTCCATCTGCCACCTAAGCTGTCAGTGTTTCTCCAGTCCCTGTGGGGGCTCCAGCTTGGGGAGGGGAGAGCAGGAAGTGGGGGTGAGTTCCGGCTGAGCCTGGTCCACTCTCCTGGCCTCTCCCACGTTACGGGATGGGGCTTCCAGGGCCAGCGCCCTTTTCTGAGTTCCCCGCACCCATCTGCCATGTCCTGGTCCGCCTGGTCTTGGACCTGACTCCTCCCACCAGGGCCTGGGCCTCTGGCTTCTTCTGATCTTCATTATTCTGGCCGACAGCAGCAGAACAGCAGAACGGAAGCCCCAGAGCACAGCTCCCTGGGGGGCGGGACCACAGCAGTCAGGGGAGGGCCTGTGTGTGCACAGAGCTCCCACACGTACCCACCCCCAGGGCCTGCACACACCCCCAGGCCTTGCCTCACCCTCTGGGGCCCCAGGGGCTCCCTGAGTTTGTCTTTTCTAAGGATTCCCTGATCCTAGAATTCTTAGCTGCACTGCACCTGAAGGGGCAGGCACCCAGTTTACCTCGTTCATGTCAGTCATTTAAACATTTATTGAGCATTACTAGTTAGCTAAGTGTTATTTTTACAGATGGGGAAACTGAGGCCCAGAGAAGTGATGTGATTCGCCCAGAGTCATACAGTTAATTAGCGACAGTCTCAGGACTAAAACCCAGGCTTCCTGCGTCCTTGCACTATACACAGTGGTGCCAAGTGGTGAGGAAAGGTGTGATAGGGTCTCAGTAACTTCCACCCAGCCTCAGTTTCTCTTCCCGTTCAACTGCAGTGAGGGTGTAGGGATCCGAACAGCCCACTCCCTCCTGTCCAGACTCCCCTGTTTCATGAATTAAACCAAAATGACCCCATCCCACACCCCAACATTTGTTGAAAGGGGAACAGCCGATGCCAGCATTCCAGGATTTCATCTCTGACCACTGGTGACCCCAGTGGCCCTGTGACCTGAGGCAAAGACATCCTCTGAGTGGGTCCAAGCTGGAATGGGCTCCCTCCAAGACTCCCTTCCCTGCTTCCAGGTGGCACAGCATCCATAAGATCCCAGCTTCCCAGCCTGGAATGGAGCAGACTGGGGTGCTTTCCCACAAGGGGCTCAGACTTTTATTAAGGGACAGGAGTGGGGTGTAGCCAGGGCCAGGGCTGTCAGGACATGCTCACCTGGACACACGCCTTTCTCCCAGGAGGCCGGCCTCAGGGCCTCTCCACCTCTGCCCCGCCTCATCTTGCCATTGCTCTCCCCTCGCTGTTCTGGGGGGGCCGCCCTGGTGACTGGGGGTACACCAGGAAGGGGGCGGACATGCGTGTGAATACTCATCTCCAGGGGCTCCTGTCCCAGCACCGGATGTCTGGACTCCGCTTCTCTCACATCTCCCACACTGAGTCCCGACTCTAAGTCCCACAGGGCCCTCTGAGGGCCTCCGGCTCGCCTCGCCTTCGAGGCCTAGGATCCCCTCCCGGCCTCCTGGCTGCTTCCTTCCGTGCAGCTTGCCTATTCATCTTCCCCGAGCACCCTCACTAGATTGTCACTGCCCCTTTTCCACTGGCAGGTGAATTCCTGGGCTGAAAGCTAAATTTGTTAGCCTGGGTTTCAGTGGCCCCTTTCCCACAAAATACTCCACCTTTATTGTTCAGTCTCTTCCCCCAAAGATCCTTAGCTTCTCCTCAACTCCTCCTCAGCTCCTTCTCAGCTTATATGCCCCATTCTCCTGATAAAGCCTCAAGTCTTCGCTTAAAGCAGTGGTTCTCAAAGTGTGGTTCCCATGCTAGCAGCATCAGGGTGGCCTGGGAACTTCATGAGAAATGCAAATTTTTGGTCTCTACGCCAGGCCTGTTGAGTCAGACCCTGGGGAGTGGGATCCAGCAGTTTGTTTCACAAGCCCGCCGGGTGTCTGTAATGCACACACGTTTTATAACTGCAGGCTTAAAGCACTCCCTGGGCCTTACTCAATCCCTAGCTTTCTTATTCCCAGATCCTCCCACCCTCTGCTCCAGGAGACGGCTTAGGTCTGTTTAAACCATAACTTGTTCAGGTGCCCCAGGCATATTTCTCTGATTTTCCCATGGGCACCGTACTGTGAGGACGGAACCAGATCTTTGTCTGCCCACCGACCACATGCCTGGGTCCATGCTCTGTACCCAACGTGCAGCCAATGTGTGCTTTGAATGGTTCCTTCTCACTGGGCCCCAAGACAAAGTGTGCTTTCCTACGGGTCCCCTGTATCCAGGCAGTAGTGAATCCACTTTCTGGATCCTTCCCTGGCCCTTCATCCTCAGAACTCCTCTCTTCCCCTCCTGCCTGTACAGTGGTACTTATGAGATCTCACTCCACTGTCAGAAAACAGCCGTCCCTGGCTCTTTCCTAGGTGCTGCTCCAGGGTCCCAGCTCCAGCATCAACCCCGATTGCCTATTTCCCTGTACACTTGGACAAGGCCATTCACATCCTGTGCCACCCCTGTAGCTTCTCAACCTCCTGCTCAGCCTGTCACCATGGCAGAGGTGGAGCTGGGAGTGTGCTCTCCCCTCTGCCCTCCTCCGTCTGTCCAGCTCTCTCTCCCTGGGTCAGCTCAGGCTACTGTGTCCAGTGAGACAGCTGTACCATGCACAGGGGGGCTGGCTGAGGAGGTGAATGGGACTAAAATCCAGCCCACGCTCTGCTCCCCAAGCTGTGCACCGTGGTTTCAGGTGGCATCAGTGTGGTGGAAAGGGTGCCTTTTAAGAATTTGCACAAAAATGTTCTATGATTTAGCAGCAGCCCTGAGTGGACCACCTCTCTGTCAGTACATTTCCCTGTCTACCTGCTGTCTCTATCTGCTATTGCCTTCCCATCCAACCCGCGTAAGTCCATCCTTCTGTCCATCCATCCACCCGTGCACAGATGTGAAGGTTAAACACAGACAAGCTGGCAGGTTCACCCATCCCCACCCTCCATTCTCCTGAAGTCAGGACCCCACCCTTTCATATTAGATCCTAGACGGGCTCCCCAGGGGGCCTCTCCAGCTCGAACTCACTCCTAGGGACTCGCCTGCCTCCTTCTCCACCTCTGACATCTAGCTCACCAGGTACTGGTGTCTGGCCCTGCCACAGGGGTCTGGAGGAAACTGGTCACACCTTGGACTCACTCTCTGAGGGTGGCACGCAGCCATTCTGCTCCTTGTCAGCTCCGGCCCCACCACCCGCCCCCTCCCCCGCCCCCTCCTCCTCCACCTTTTCATCCAGCCGGCTGGGGATGGACCAGTAGAGATGGGCATCAAGTCGGGCAGCAGCCTCAGCCAGCTCCCGGGCGCTGCATGAGGGTGTGGGCACCTCAAAGGTCTGGTGGAAGCTGGCGTAGTCCACCTCGTAGAAGCCATCTTCCAGGGTCAGCACTGACGTGAAGCGGTGACCCCACAGCACCTCATCCACCAGGTAGGAGCTCCGGGCCTGGCAGGTCATTCCTGGGGGGAGGCGCATGCATCAGGGGGGAATCCCAGCCCCGGCTCCCCTATCCCTTCCCGAAGGCCCCCACCCCTTTTGGCCCAGCCCATTTTTCTCTCCCTTTCCAACCCCTGTACCTGCCCAGTTCCTTCCTCTCTTCAGCATTTGCCCCAACTCCTCTTAATCTCCACCCAAGCCACAGTCTCCCCTCCTCTCCTTAGAGACAGTAATCAGAGAAACTTAACCTTCAAACTGACCTAAGGGATCTTTTAGTCCAACCTCCTTCTCCATACAGAGCTTCCCACTGATCATTCCCAAAAATGGGCCTCTAGCTTGTACTTGATTACCTCTCAGGACTGAGAGCTCACTATCTTACAAGGAGCCCACTTCTTTGTGTGATGGCTCTAACAGTTAGGTTGTTGTTTTGAATACAAAGCTAAAATCTGTCTCCCAGGATTCGCACCCTTTGCTTTCATTTCCTGGCCAGTTCACACCCCTTTGAGTATCTGAAAACAGGCATCTCAGATTCTATCATGTCTTTTTTCTTCAGGCTGAACACCCCTGGCTCCTTCTACCATTCCTCATGCAGCTTGGCTTCCAAAGTTTGTACTTTCTGAATCACAAACCAGAATGGCGAAGAACGACCCTTTAATTAAACCCTTTGAGTGATAAATACTCCAGTTGTAGCCTGATCCATGCAAAAGAGAGGGCTTACCACCTCTCTCTTCTGGCCGTGATGCTTTAGCTAATGGGTCCAAGATTATGTTACATAAACATTTTTGCAAGCTTTATCACATTGCAACAACAGTAAGCCTGTGGCCAACTAAAACCCCCACTTCTTCTTTCACCAGAGCTCTTCAATGCTGTGCTTACATAAGTGATTTTTTAAAGCCTAAATGTAGAATTTTATATTTATTCCTTTTAAATATCATCTTGTTGTGTTTTGGTTCAGTATAGTTGCTTTTCAAAAGCATTTTGAATCCTGACTCTCTCACCCAAAAAATTACCATCCTTTCAGGCTTTATCTCTCTAGAAAAATCAGACAAATGCCCAGCCCTGTGTCCTCCACCCCAACCTCCCCAGTTCTCCTTGCCCTGGGCCTGTGTCCTGATTTCCCTGTTGGGCTGGCAAACCCACTAGGGCAAGTGATTCTCCTCTACCCCAGGGGTCTCTCCCCAAGCCCACATCTACCTGAGAACAAGGAGGGATGGAGGACTGAACATTACCTAACCAGAGACAGGCTCTCAGCATTGAAAGCCCCACCTGGGGACATCTGGGGGACATTGGTATTCTTCGTTCCTTTGGGGAAGGCTGGCATGGGAAGTATTCAGTGCGGGAAGGGAAGAAAAGGCCAAAGGGACCCTGGAGAAAGAGGGGCTGGGAGAACAGAGGGAGAGGGGGCTGGGCAGGGACTTCTCTGTAAGGAGAGGGGCTGCTGCAGGTACTGGCGAAAGAGTGACAGCTGGTGACGTGAAGGGGACAGGGAACAGCATGGGGGAAGGGGCAGGAGCTGGAGGGAGCATGGCGGGTGTGGTGGTGAAGAAGGAATGGGGAACGCTGCTGAGGCTCAGCCGGAAGCAGGAGACGGGTTTGGGGATACCAGCAGAGGGCTCCAGCTCTGGGACAGGGCAGGACCTGCAGGGCCCCCTGGTGGGCCTTTTGTTCTCTACTTACCCTTCTGCTTCTAGACAAGCTCATTTCCTGTCCCTGTACTGGTCCCTATAGCTCCCAAACCCTTCACTGTGTAGCCCGAGCTGGAGGTGCTGACACCACAGGTGCATTTCCAGTTCCTTCTGGGAAGGCGCTGGAAATGCTGAGATCCATCTATTTCCTTTGTCAGTGGATGCTGCGAATCTGATGGATGGATGGGGAAACTGAGGCACAAGTGAGCCTAGCCATCAACCTCTTCCTAAGGTCCAGCCTAGCAATAACAGGCCACGAGTTTTCAGCACCAAATTCCAAGGGCTGGGACCTCTCAGCAATGAGAAAACCCCAAGCCAACCCCTCCTTCCCACTCTGGACCACTCACCACTGAAGCCACACTGCCTGAGGTCTGTCCAGGCGTGGGCCCTTAATTAGCTGATGACAGTGGACAACTTAGGTAACCTTTCCCTGGGGCAACCTCCTCTCTGAGAAATGAGCCAAGAACATGGAGTTACCTTCATGGGGTTCTTGTGAAGGTTAAATGCACTCAGAGAAGGCCAAGTTCCCTGGAACCACAGAACGGCAGAGTGGGCACCTGCTGAGCGTCACCCATTGCTATTGCTTTCCCCTATTCCCAGTAACACAGACCTGTGGGCCTCTGGGGAGAATTCCTGCAGGCTGTTGTCTTGCCTCTCTGCCCGTCCCTCTGTTCACACGCCCTCCCAGCCCAGGTGCCCCATGGCACCTCGGTCTCCCCTGTCTCACCCCCTCCAGCCTCTCCATCCACCCTCCCCTTCTTGCCCCTGCCTTCCCCGCCCCGCCCCGGGGCCCGTCCGCACCCGTGGCTTCCACCATGCCCTCGAGGATGACCACGATCTCGAAGTCGTCCCTCTCGAGGGCGCGGCGCGACGCCTCCCAGAAGGGGCTGGCGGCGTCGATCTCGTGGCTGATGACGAGCGGCGAGACGAGGAAGAGGCGGTCGTCGCCCGTGTCGAAGCCCACGCTGAGGTCCGTCTGGTGCAGCGGGATGAACTCGCCCTCCAGCGTCTGGCGCGAGCGGATGAGCTTGGCGCGGATGGAGGCCTCGACGATGTGCGAGGAGCGCAGGTCGCCCACGCGGAACATGAGGCAGAGGCGCCCGTCGCGCAGCGACACCACGGCGTGCGACGAGAAGACGAGCGTGGCGGCGCGCTTGTTGGGCTGCGAGATCTTGACGAACATGCAGCCCACCATGAAGGCGTTCACCATGGAGCCCAGGATGGCCTGCAGGAGGAGCAGCACGATGCCCTCGGGGCACTGGTCGGTGATGACGCGGTGCCCGTAGCCGATGGTGGTCTCCGTCTCGATGGAGAAGAGGAAGGCGGCCACGAAGCCGTTGAGGTTGTTGACGCACGGCGTCCAGGCCGTGTCCTCCAGGTGCTCCAGGTCGCCGCGGCCGTAGGCGATCAGCCACCAGATGGCGCCGAAGAAGAGCCAGGTGAGCGCGTAGGCGAGCACGAAGAAAAGCAGGCTGAGGCGCCACTGCAGGTCCACCAGCGTGGTGAACAGGTCGGTCAGGTAGCGGTACGTCTCGCGCACGTTGCCCTGCTGCACGTTGCACCGGCCGTCCTTCTCCACGTAGCGCTGGCGGCCGCGGCGCCGCGGCGGCTCCTCCGGGCCCGGTGAGAAGGCGGCGTTCTCCTGCGCCAAGGCCATGGCCGCGGCGGCGGCGGCGGCGGCGTCAGCGCGGGCGCCTGGGCGGCGGGCCTGCGGGGGCGAGAGGGGCTGAGCTCAGCGACCCGCGCGACCCGCGGGGACCTGGGCCGGGCCCTTCGCGGCTCCCGGCCTCAGTTTCCGCAGCAGGAGAACGGGAACCACGCCCCTCGCTCGCCGCCTGCCCCCCCAGCTCACGGAGTCGGGAGCATCCAACGGGATGGTGCACGGGACCTGCGAGCGCTAGACAAGCGCGACGGTTGTTTTCAGGGCAGCGACTACCAGAGATCTGGGTCCGACCACCCCTAAATTGGGTGCGCAGCCCGTCCCGCGCCGCCCGGACCGAGGCCCAGGCAGGGAAGGGAGTTTGCTGAAATCAGCAGCCGGTGTGCCCCTCTGAGGCGCAGGCGGGCGGCTCGTCTTCCTCCATTGCCCAGAGCCCCTGCTGCCCGCAGGCCGCCCCCAGCCCCAGCCCCGCTGCTGTCCCTGCAGTCCCCTGATCTCTGGTCTGTGCAGTTCAACCTGACGTCTAACCGGGGCTCTTCGAGGTTCACCCCAAGACTGGCACGCAGAAAGCCTTCCCACTCCTCGCTCCCTGCACTTGATTTACTCTAAACCCTCCTGCGTCTCCCTCCTCTGGCCCAGCTAACAAAGAAGAAAAATGGAAGTGGTGGAAAGTAAGTGAAAAATCCCCAGTGGACAAGGGCTGAACAGGCCCACATCAGGAGATTCCCCCTGCAACTCCTCCCTGAGGACTAAGCATGACCACTGTGCTGTAGTGTCAGCCCATTTGCCCTGGGTTCTTTCCCCAGTGGAGACAGTCTGAAAATGGGTAGGGGGCCAGGAGGATCTGAGACCAGCACGGAAGGCCCGGTAAAGGAAGCACAAAGCTCATCAAGAGTTAGGCTTGTGTCCAATCAATGTTCTAGTCCCCCGGAGACATTAAATCAGATCAAGTGAAGCTCTAAGCACCTGCAGTCACCTCTGCCTGCCTCCGGTTCTTCCCCAGCAGTCCCCTACTTCCCACTGACTGTCCCAACAACAGCCCCCTCCACACACATGCCCCAGAGCTCACAGTCCGAGGGAGGCCCCCCCGATCATGCTTCACAGTCTCTCCTCTAAGGAACTCTGAACTGTGGTCTGCCCTGAGAGAGATCCAGAGCCCTTCCTTAGGCCCCAGGGGCCCCAGGAGGTGCGGATCATACCAGGAAAGGTGGGATAAGGATGCGGGGTTCTCCAGCCATCCCTTCATCCTGGGAATTGTCCTCTGCCCCCTACTCCTAGGAGACCTGGGCTGCCTGGGAGGGGTGGTGCAGAGGAGGGGTCCGACAGGATTCACACAGGGCCCAGATATGTAACTCCAAACCCGATGATCCAGAATTCAAGTTCTGGAGGGAGATATTCTGCAGCCAGACCGTGGAGGCTGTGTGTGTGTGTTGGGGCAGAGAACAACAGAAACGAAAAAGAGATGGCTTGGAGTTCAGGGGCACCCCCCATGTTTTATTCCAGGAGGAGTCAGGGAACACAGGGGCCAGGAACCCAATGCAATGGCTGATTTAGGTTTTCCTCTCCCCCAACATGAGCTTCCCTTTCCTTCCCTGCAGCCCAGATGTCCTCAAGAAGTAATTTCTAGGCGTTGACTGGCTCAGAGACCCCAGGCCATGCAGAAAGTACCTGGGTCCCACTTATCCAGCTTCAGCCCCAGGCAGGCTACCGGGTGTTCTCAAAGTTTTAAGTAATCTGACTCCCAATCTGCCTGCTTAGATCTCTTCCCAGGGGTGGGGAGTAGACCCCAGAGTCTCATGGCCCCCCGGAACTTCCTTGCTCTCCATTGCCCCAGGGATCTAGGTGAGCCTTACTTTGACTGCATCCCTCCTCCTGTCTTCCTGAGTGGGGGCAGCATTTTCTCAATGGGGAAGGAAAGGTGAGAAATTCTTGCCTCTATCCCACCTCAAGGACTTGATTTCTACATCTTCTCTCCAAAGATTCCTATTTCTCCGGCCCACTCCTTATTTCTTGTGCATGCTGTGACCCCTTTCCAGAAGACCCCAGTACCACATTTTTCTGGATCTCCCTTTCTCTAAGGAGTTCTGGCCGGCACAGGGGCTTATTTTTTGGAAGGGAATCTAATGAAAACTCCCTTAGGAACAGCTCTTCCCAAATCCTAACTTGTCTTGGAAATAGGGGCCCAAACCCAAGCCCCACCCCTCCCCCAGCTCAACTCACAGTGTGTGGAGAGGAGAGTAGCCGACAGCAGAGAGCCCTGGGGGGTAGTGTCCATGCTTCTGGCACCAACCCCCCAGACCCTCTGGAGGGTAGGAGCCGCAGACACTGCTGTCTTCCCTAAATGTAGCGGCAGCTCTGCCTAGGACTTGCTATCTGTGTCATTCCCACTTCCCAGGCTCCCCTGCTCCTCTCCTGTTTCCACAGCAACCAGTCTGGCGACAGCTCTGGAGCATCCCCCTCCCCTCTCCAGTCCTGGGTACCACTAGAGGCTGAGCCACATGCTATAGCTATTTTTAGCCAAAGTCCCTCCTTCTGGACAACTCAGAGCTCGCCTCCTCTCACCCTCAGGAAAAGAAAGAAAAAAAGAAAAAACCCTGGCATTCTGGCTCTTTCCTAAGAAGCTACTTAGCCTGGGAAAATACAGGTCCTGATCATTTGCAAATAAGGCGTTTGGTTTCCTGAGGATTCAGGGGGCTGCCTGGGAGCTGGCAGCTCATCGCCATCAAAAGGGCCCTCTGAGACAGGTGCTGCTCTGGGACCAGGCCCAGCATCACAGCCTCCATTTTGGGAGAGGCCATTACCTCTAGGAGGTCGCTAGAGAGGAAGGAGATCCACCCAAGAAAGCAGGCAGGGTCAGGGGTTCTAATCTTTGTCACTGGTTTGCCATGTGACCCATAGGAGTCATTTCTCCTCCCTTATCCCCAATTGCTCCATTTTTTCCCAGGGTGTGAACATGTTCAAATAGCTCCTTTCTGCCTTCTTCACAGGGAGTGCAGGTCACTGAAGCAATATAAATAGAAGAGCTTTCAAGTGTATTTTGTTAATAGCAGAAAGTCAAGAAACAACCCGAATGCCCAACAGAGAAAAAAGCTTAGGTCGGGGCTTCCTAACTATTCAACTTTGATGGAGCCCAAGTGTGTGGGAGCCAGGCAGTGTGCTAGGCAGAGGTGGTTACACACATGAATACTCCTCTGCCCGTGGGAGCTCATGGGCCAGTGGGAGAGACTCATAAACACATAATATTAATGCTACCACTAATTCGCCGAGCATCAGCTATGGACTAGACACGCCCTATGAGAGAAGTATTATTTTCTCCACTTAGAGATAAGAAAACTAAAACTGAGAAAGTTCAAGTGTGGCATTTACCAAATATCACAGTCAGCTTATGACAGAGATAGTAGCCATCCCCACACATCCATGTCACCACCCCACTCCACGCTCTTTTCACTAAGTCACACTGCTTCAGTGATGTAATATCTGTGACGTATCAATATAGTCGGTTACTATGTTCATATATGTAAATGGGGCTGTAGGCACACCATTACTTAAAAAAGCAGAACAGAAATATTCTTATAAGTTGTTAATAACTGTATAGAAATAGCTATAGAAACATTGATAAAAATGAGAAAAAACATTCGGAGAAATGAAAATACTTCAATGTGTATTTCCCCAGGGAAATCATTAAATGCAGAGATTCCTTTACAATCTCTCATAGAGAGATTATATATTACTTATATATTGAATAATTAGATTTAAGATTCCCAAAAGTTGGAACAGGAAGATGAGCTTAGAGGGGTCGGAAATGAACACTGGAGGTTAACAGTTTCTGGAATGAACTGGCAAGGTGGAAAATGTGGTATCAAGTAATATAATCTCAGGAGGCAGTGATCTGGGTTCAAATCTCAACTCAGTCCACTACTAGCTGGGTGACTTTGAGCAAGCTCCTTAACCTCTCTAAACAGTTCATTCATGTAACAAATGAGAACAACCATATTACTCATCTCTTGGGGGTTGTCATAAAGGTTACATGAGGCAATGCCTACTACACTGTAAGCACTCAGAAAACATCAGCTCTATCTTCTCCTCATCAACGTGCTGGTCCCTGCATCTCCTGTAATCCCCACCCACCCTGTGTTGCCTTCCTTTGATCTGGCCTCACCCAGTGAGACCTGCAGGGGGCACTCCTGGTACACTGCCCTCCTCTCCCCAGTCCTCTTGCCCATGTTTCTTGTTCCAAGTGGAAAAAACTGAGTTTTCAGCCCGAGATTGGCATCAGAAGGGCTGTTAAAGCCCGGTCAACATCCCCGTCTCCTGGGCCTGGCCCTGTCACCTGAGCCTTGGGACTGCTGGCCTGCCCTTCTCTGTCCTGCCAAGTGGCTGCTCACGTTGGTGCCATTGTGCCAGGCCTCGGAGAGAAGAAACCAAACTCCCAGGCAAGAAGCATTTGCATAGAACTGGCCCCATTTCCTGGAGGGGGAAATCACAGGGTGGGCAGGGCCCCCAGCAGGGGGAGCAGCCAGCCCCCTGCCTCAATCCAGGCTGCCCTGAGCCTAACCTTGCTAACAAGCAAGGGAACCGCCACCCTCTCCCTTTCTCTGCTGCTCCTTCAGGTCCTGGACTTTTCCTGGATCTAACCTCCTTTCCTTGTTTATCATTGAGCTTGAACAGAGTGAGGGAAAAAAGAGTTTTCTTAGGTACCAAGCTACAGAAAAGAAGGCAAGATCCTAGCTTTCAGGTATTACGAGATAAAGAAAGCAACTTTATAAGGACTCAAAAGACTATGTCAGTAGAATTATGATGGGAGACCAGGTTTGGAACTGGAGAATGTTGAGGGCAGGAGGGGCACAGCTGGGGCCCCAGTGCTGGGCCATAAAGAACCTTGGTACAAAATGGAAAAAGTGGCCCTTTCTGGGCAGATGTACTCCTTATGGCATGAAGCTTGGAGGGCAAGTGATACTTTGGAGCATAAAAAAAAAAACAAATAAAAAGAGGAATCCCATCATTAACACAAAGATACAATAAAAATTCTATGCGTGGAAATTTAAAACTATACTTTATGCGGTGTAATTGTGAGTTTATGACACTATTCCCTTAACTTCCTGTATTGTTATCTTTTTGTAAATTATTTTGTTCTAAATGAATTACAGGTTTATTGTAAAAAAAAAA